GTGGGGCGGGGCCAAGACCGCGGGTTTAGAGGGCGGGAAGGAGGTGGGATTGGAGGAGAGGAGATTGACGGAGGAGAGAAGGAGTGGCTGAAGCGGGCGCTGGCGGGGAGAGTGCGTGATGACGTCATGAAAAAGAACTATTATATACAGGAGTCCGGGCGCCATCTCGGTCTTTCTAGAGTAGGAATCGGCTGGCTTGAGGTGAGTGGGTTTATCATGGTTGTTAAGCGAGTTCTTGGTTTGAACTCTCCATCCCTGGACAGTTAAGATTGTCCTAAACTGGCTGGCATTTCTAGGCCAGTCGCGCGCCTTTGCGTTCCCACAAGATGAGGATGGTGGGGGATTGCGCGTTCGGTGCAGGCGCGACCTAAACTACTCAGTTGTTGTGGGCTGAACTGCGGAGAAACCTCGGCTTGCGTACCCTGCCTGTGATGAAGCCTGTGTTGGTAGGGACATCTGAGAGTGTTGATGAATGCCAACGGCTCTGATGGCGGCCCATGCCGACTCACCGAGTGGGCCTTTGTTAAGGACCGCGGCCGAGCCTCCTTCAGGCACTTCTCAGGAAAAGGATGGTGGTTGTGCTAGTCCACGTGGTTCTCTAAGGGGCTGCATTGCGCAGTGCTCCGTTATTTCACTGGTTCTTAACTTTAGGTATAGTGCTCTCGTATACATTATCTCTTGCAGTCGTGAAATTAAATTATGGGTGCATAGAGTCCTGCATAGGTGACACAAAAACGCGATGTAAGGTAGCGTGGAACAAAATGGACTAAATATCTGTACGTAATCCTTTTTTTTTTTTTTTTAGGAAATGTTGCTTGGCACGGACGCAACGTGGCTTTTGATGGCATCTTATAGACAGGTAAGAAAGTACAGTGGAAAGAATGAAATCTGCTTAGAGGAGGTCTTTTTATTAAGCCTGTGATGTTTTAAGAGTAGTGGACAGAAGGGATTTCTGAAATTCTGTTCTGAGGCTTTAATATATTAGGTAATGGAATTTAACTTGGCTGCAGGGAGGTGCCTTACGGTTCTACGTCTTTTTGTCTGTTGTCTAGTTATGTGCCAAGGAGGGATGAAAATTGCTGCCGAGGTAAGTTATCGAAATACCCCCCAAAGGGAGTTAGGTTGAACGTCACTGAATGTGCAGCAATGATGACATTTTATTTGCTACTCTTGACTGCGAGAATGACGAGAATCTTAACCACCATTATGCTAACTGAGGCACACAAAATGGTGATGTAGGGAACATAAAGATTGCACTTAAGTTCACGTGAGTCTTTTTTCACAGGTCCTAAAAACAAGCTTTTCGCGATAACCTGGGCACACAGGTGAGAAACCTTTTTAGATAGTCTGTTAAGCCAGTACTTTCAATTGTTTTTAAGGGCTTAGAGAACAGCCAAAGTAATGTTGATGCTTATATGAATTAGGGTTTTTTGAAGTGTGAACCTCTGCTCTTAATTTGATGCTAAATTGAAACTGGCCGGCCAGTTTGCTCAGTTGGTTAGAGTGTGGTGTTAAAATACCAACATCACGGGGCCGGCCCGTGGCTCACTCGGGAGAGTGTGGTGCTGATAACACCAAGGCCACGGGTTCAGATCCCATATACAGATGGCCGGTTCGCTCACTGGGTGAGCGTGGTGCTGACACCACCAAGTCAAGGGTTAAGATCCCCTTACCGGTCATCATTAAAAAAAAAAAAAACCAACATCAAGAGTTCGGATCCCCGTAGGTCAGCCACCCAAAAAACCCCAACAAAAATACATAGAATACTGTAAGAATGAAGAAACAGATGATGGTTGCATACATAGTTCAACAGATTGACTCATGAAGAGATAAACTGTTTAACGTATCTGGGGTGGTTGGTGTTTGCAGCTATTAGTGTAGGCAGTAGTATAACCATTAGCTTAAGATGTGTTTTTCTTAAAGTTGTTATTTAAAATCTGTTTTATAGGCACTAAACAGCTGAAAGTTGATGTGGTAAGTAAAATAATCCTAGTAAACAGGTAACTGGGCAAACTAACGGGCATAAATGGGCTACATTCTTACGTACTTGCATCAAGCACTCCTGGTGTGAGTGCTGAATGCATTAAATAAAAGCCAGAGCCTTGTCCTGTTACCATTAAGACAATTTTGAAAATGTGGCCTGGATGATGATGAGCAAATACTGACTGAATGTGAAGGTGGTTAATTAGCTCTAACTGATTTCAGGCATTTGTTAGCTTTGGGGAATGGGGAGAAAAAAATCCATCTTTGGCTATTCTAAAACTACTCTAAATTTCTTAGGTGTGAAGTCTGACTTGTCTGGACCATTTTTTTTTTAAAGTAAGTATTGATGGAAATATTACAGTGGTTTAAGACTTACTGAGAATGCTGATAATGAACTAATTTATATTCAGCTAATGAATGCTAAGATTGCATTTTCTTTGAGCATGCTCCAAACGGGGTTTATGTAATGATGTTGATCAAATGTCTGACCTGAAATGAGCATGTAGACAAACTTAACACTGAATAACCCTGTGACAAACAACTAAAGTGGTAACAAATTTTAGATTTAATGATATTTAGTTTTTAATGACAGTCATGTTTCTGTTCTGTTCTAGCCACTGGTTTCACGTTTTTTCCCAGGGATGGCTTGGGTAAGAACATGAAGACAGTTCTTAGGCATTTTATGATTATATTTCTGAAATGCCTGAACTGATTGTTAGGATGTGCTTTGTAAGACAAAAGTCTTACAGTGAGTAATTAACGTTATTTATGTGGAAAAGTAAGTGATATTCAAATACTTTTTTTCAGGTGCAGATTTTGGAGACCTTTTAAATAAAGGTACATATTTTGTAAATTTTAGTTATCTATTGACCAAGATGCTGTTGGTGATGACTTAAGTTAAAACAGATGGGAATCTCTCTGAAAGAGAATGAAGATTAATTTTAAACTGAAACAGTAGTTGGAAAATCTTTTAGAAACCTACTTATTACTGCCTGTTTCCAAATTTGCATAAATTTCTGCAGGTCTGAATAATCTGCTTGGCCACGATACATGGAGCACGAAATTTCAATCAAAAGGTACACCAGTCTCAAGTATGGGTTTTTAAAACTGATATAAAGCTGCCGATACGGTGATGATAACATAGTTCAGCAGACTAACACTGATGAGCAGTATTAAGTCTTTCGCTCCTATCTGACGTATCTGGCTGCAACAATCCAATTTATTCTCTTGAAAAGGGGAATTTAGCTATTTGTTACATAGGAAACATTTAGAGAGTTGGATTACAATAATGACTTATATGCTTTCTTAATTGCAGGAATGAGAACTCGTATGTGAAGTGCAGGTTAGTTTACAAATGTTAGGAAATTTTTATGGCATAAATACATCTTAAACTAGATTGTGCCAGATGGATTGATTTAGCTATTTTAAAAAGTGAAATTGAGTAGGGTAAATTTTAAATGTTTTTTCTCTTCAAACAGGTTATTTTCTTTTATCCTGAAAACTTCAAGGTAAGTCAGTTTTTGGTGTATATATGCTAAGTTGGAATGTAACCAGTGATGTAATGATTCTGCCAAATGAAATAGAGTGATATCACTTGTAAAACCGTTCCATTTTTATTCTGAGGTTACTGTATTAACCAGTATCAGAGAAAAATTTTTTTTTACCATAATAAATATGTAATCTTTCTTTTTTAGGGCTTTTATGACTACAGCAAGCATGCAGCTTACCCATTGAAAGGTGAGAATTGAAAATGACAGCACTGTTCTTTTTTCAGAATACATGATGATCTCAACCCAACTTGAACTCTCTCACTGATTACTTGATGACAATAAAAGATCTGATATTCTGTGTTCATCAAGTACCACTTAAATTGATGTTTGGAAGTGTGGCTAAAAGTGGTGTATTTGCTTGCAGGCAGCTGGATGGATGCTCATGGGATAGAAGATTAAGCATCTTTCTTTCAATTGGAATTTCTGTAAACCTTGTGAGGAGGAGCATCCTATTTCAAATAGGGTGGGGGAAAGGAGGAATGTTTTCAAATAATGAAGGCTATACTGGTGCTTTGTCTGTTACATTAATTGGAAATAAAAGTATGCAGAAGTCAAAGGCTCCCTGGCATTTGCTTCATTAAAGGTACAGCCAGTTAAGATTTTCACGGATATTTTACAGTGTATGTCTTATGTTTAAAAGTGTAATTTGCGCTGAGGAATAGACTACACATAGTCTTTCTCATTTTAGAAATGCCGTATTTGTGCTGATAGAAACCAGAATAACATCTGTTGAAGAAGTGCCATATATTTTGCAGAATTGTGTGAGCAAGTTTTCTTAATGGCTAAATGAAATCATTGGGGCAATTTGTATTAAGCCCAAAGCCACCTTTGGAGAAAAAAAAAAAAGAATGGGCCTGAGGATGCAAAAAATATAAGCTTGGATTATTTCAGCTGGTGTTACCAGCACATACTATATATCTTTTAATTCCATTTTTCCACAAGCTTTTTGACAACATCAAGTTGGCTAGCCTAGTTAGCTCTTAGTAGAGAGTGATTGTGATAAAACCAAGGTCAGGTTTAGATCCTGGCACTGGCCAGCTGCCAAACACAAGTTGTACACAAGCAAATATAGTTTTTGTCAGTTATACCTCAAGCTAAAGTCTTGCCCCAAATGTACATTAGTCTTGTTCCCTGGACTCCACTCAAATGAATCCTCCCACAGGCTCTGAGACCCTATGTAAAACAAATACACCCCCACCCCCAACTTTTCTTACCGTTTACTCTGTTTAACTACAGGAAAAGACTTGCGCATGCAAAGATGTCTTTTTATGGGCATTGGGCTGCTTAAAAACCTCAGACTGGATTATTTATAAGCAATAGAAATTTATTGCTCAGTTCTGGAGACTGGTAAGTCCAAGATCAAGGTGTCAATGGATTCAGTGTCTGGTGAGGGCCTGTTCCTCATAGATAGTGCCTTCTGCATCCCTATGTGGCATAAGGAGCAAGGGAGGTGCTTCAAGCCTCTTATGAGGGCACTAATCCTGTTCATAAGGGTGGAGCCCTCATAATAGCTGTTTTTTGAATGCTTACTATATGCTAGTTTACATAATCATTCTAAAAGTGACAAGTTAGGAATTACATCTTATGGATAAAGGGATAGACTCAGGATAAGGTTATCTAAAGCCACACAGGTGGTAGAGGCAGAGTCAGAATAGAGTCAACATGCAGCAGCATGTCACATTAACAATTGACAAGAGTTAATACACTGAAGGATTATCTTAGCCTTCAAGAAAAGACAAGCTACGAGATGAAATTCTATAGGCAGGAATATTAGTCTTTTTCGGTTTGAAAGGTCCCAATGGGGTACTTAGAATGTGGGGGTGGAGGGGAGCTGGCTTGACAGATTGTTTGGAAAAGACTTGGAGGCTTTATAGAATACAAACTCTTATCCAAAAGTGGAACTGGGTTGTTTTAAAACAAAATACCTGAATACTGTCTTAGATTCTGGCACTGGGTGGGAGGTGGACTACTCAGACAATCTAAGGTACGCTGTCATCTTAAGAACTCATGATTCTATAACCTGTCATGCCATGCATGCACCAGGGGAGGTGTGGGCGAATGGGGTATGTAGGGTGCTGTTATTCCACAGGTAATTCTGGTTTGAGTCACTGACTTCTAGATTTATACTTCCAATTTCCTCATTTGTTTAATTTGGGCCCCTGGAAAGTTATATCTACTTATTAAATGAGATCTGTCTTAGTCTGTGCTGCAATAACAGTACCACAGACTGGGTAATTTATGAAGAGCAAATTTATTTCTCACAGTTCTGGAGGCTGGGAAGTCCAAGATCAGGGTGATAGCAGGTTTGGTATCTGGTGAGGGTGGCATCCTCTGGAGGGGAGGAACACTGTGTCCTCATGTAATAGGAAGGGGAAGAGAGCTGATGGCTGCATGAAGCCTCTTACAAGGTCCTTAATCCTCATGAGGGAGGAGCCCTCATGGCCCAGTCACCTCTTAAAAGCCCCATCTCTTAATACCGTCACATGGACAACACCTGAATTTTGGAGAGGTATACATTCAAACAATAAGGAAGGTGCCAGGCAAATTATTTTCACTGAGAAAAATGGAAATAATTAGTTGGCGCCTTACACCACCAGAGCTTTCGGGCGGCAATTCTAGTTATGTACATGATGTGTTTCACTAGTCGCACATCCTGGTGAGAAAAATGGAAATAATTAGTTGGCGCCTTACACCACCACAGAGCTTTCGGGCGGCAATTCTAGTTATGTACATGATGTGTTTCACTAGTCGCACATCCTGCCAAATGCACAAAGGATTTTTATATAATTATGTTCTCAAACTGGAAAGCTGGGTTCCATAATTCAAACTAGTGCCTGAATATCCTCCAAATGTTACAGCTTTTAAGATAGATAAATTGATTTTTTTTCATCTTTAATAAAGCTGTAGGTTTAGATACTTTAAAGGGATCTTTATGCTCTTGAAAATCCCTGGGCTTGGAAATGATACATTTTATGCTTCCTTTGTCCCTCTTATTTCAGATGTAAAGTTAGGGAAAATACTGGTGTACTGTGCTGGACATCTGTATTCTAAAACAGACTGTATTCTTGATTAATTTTATGTAAGTGACCTATTTGAAGCCATCTCACTTAAAAACCATGAAAGAATGGTTAATTCTTGCTAGTAATTAAGCTGCCATCAACAACAAGCTGCCAACATCTGATGGAGTATCTGCTTTATCAACCTTCCCTATTGGTGAGGTTGGTCTCAGGATCTCTACATATCTTCATCTAATGATTTACACATATCAAAGTGATCTGTTTATGTATCTGCTCCCCCACCAGGCTAAAAGTTCCTGCAGGACAGGGGCCACAACTTACTCATCCTTGTGCTCCCCAGATCCTAGCCCAGAGCTTGGCATGTATTTACTCATTTTATAATTCACCCGAAAGGTGTTTATTGAGCATCTATCATGTGCAAAGCAATGTTTTTTAGGTGCTGGTAATAGATATTACAGAAAACAACAGACAAAAATAAAATCCATGCCCTCATGGTGCATACGTTCTAGTGGGGCAAACAAAATAACTAAAAGGTAGCATATCAAATAGTGGCGAGTGGTACAGAGGACAAATAAAGCAGGGAAGGGGTAGAGTGCTGATGCAAGGCAGGGGCTCGCTCTTTTTAATATGGTTGTCAGGGAAATCCTCACCTCCAAGGGGGCATTTGAACAAAGATTTGAGGATATTAGGGAGCAAGCAGAGCAGCTACCTGGAGAAAACTTGCGAGGGGACAGGTTGGGCAACAGCATGGACATGGGATCATGCCTAGTGAACACCAAGAAAAGCAAGGACTCCAGTGTGGAGAGAACAGAGGGAGCAAGGAGAATGGGAGGACATGGTCAGTAGCTAGACAGGTCACAGAGGCCTTTGGAGGCCACTTTAAGGACTCTGGCTTTTCTCTGAGGAGGGAAGCCACTGGAGGGCTTGAGCAGAGGAGTGACATGATCTGACCCTCACTGATAGACTTGTGAGGGGCAAGGATGAACGCAAGATCATGAGGAAGCCGTTGCTCTAATGCAGGCAGGACAAGATGATCACAGGGACCAGGAAGGTATTTATAGAGGCATGAAAAAGTGCCAGATCCATGCTGGATGTATTTTGAAGGTAGAGCTGATAGATGTTCAGCTTTATTTGAAGACAAGTTTCTCCAGCTTCACTTTCTCTAGGCAAAGAAACAGGAGCCTAGAGAGGTTAAGCAACCGGGCCAAAGTTACTTAACTAGGGAGCAGTAAAGCCAGGAATTAAATCCAGGTACATCCAACTCATACAAGTTCTTTCTGCATTAAAAGTCTTAAATACAAAGACTGACTTGGATGTGCATTTATTGCATGACTTACATATGCAACTGTTATATAGATATTCCATCTGATATTTTTATTGTATACTTGGCTAACTCTTCTAGTAGTTATGAAGTGACTCATTTTTCTTGAGATAAGAAAAAAGAATCCTTGCTGTTTAACAAAAAGCAGCAAGGAAGTGATCAATGTTACAGATAGTTCTGATTCTTCAGAGAGGGGAATTCTGGGAAAAGACAGAGCAGTTGTACAGATCCATTGTTTATTTAGTAAAGCAAAGCCTAAGAGCTTAAAACAATCCCATTAGACTCATCATCTGACATAACTATTCTTCAGAGAGGGGAATTCTGGGAAAAGACAGAGCAGTTGTACAGATCCATTGTTTAGTAAAGCAAAGCCTAAGAGCTTAAAACAATCCCATTAGACTCATCATCTGACATAACTCTTCCCAACAAGAAGAAATTGTTCGTAGGACAAAGCTCTGTGAAGCTAATAATGACTACTGCTGTTGTAGCTGGCAATTGCTTACCTTGTTTTTAAAACTGGAAACAGAATACATCTAAATTGCCTAGGAGGTTGGGGAGATTCGATTTGAAAGAACTCGGTTTCAAGTTTACAATTCGTGCATTCTAACATCCTGGTTGTGGTGTTTTCAACTTTACTGGCAAATAGTTCTTCAGTTTTTGAGAAAATATTTAAAATTTTACCCTACCCTAATCATAGAGATCTTATATAGTGACATTTCCTTGGATTTCAGAATAAGCGTTATTTTTTTCTTCCTGACAGGTCCGAAGAAAAGCTGAGTAACCCAAAGTGACTAGGCCTCTTGAGATATCAAGACAGTACTGTTTGTGCTCACTTCAGCAGCACATATACTTTAAAAAAAAAAAAAAAAAGACACGACTGTTTTACTCTTGGGGACCTAAGGCCTTTGGTATTTGTGCCTAGAAAATACTCTCTGAATTTTGGGTGTCTTCTGTAATGCTCATTTCCAGGATAGAAAGATAAAGTTTTGGTATGAATTAGGCTTTAAACAGTGAATAGCAAATTTATTATATTTATAAGTTAGGTAACATTTGTGGCATAGATGGATGTAGGGCATCTCTAGAAATTCTCTCCACTGAGAAAGGGCAGGCAGTGTTGGGCACCCTTCTCACCGTGAGAACCCTGCCAGCAAGGACTTTCTGGCTCTAGAGTATACCCACAAATGAGGGAGAGATTAGGTGAAAGGACAAATTTAGGGAAAAGCTCCACCTAATGGTAAACCAGCTTTCTCATTAGTAAGGAAGGACATTCATACTCTTTGTAGCTTATTGAGTGTCACAAAATAGACCTGGAAGTGAAGCCTATTTTATTTTCAAACAGAAAAAGATTATAGTATCGTATTGCTTAGAGCAATGAGAAAAATAGGCTGGGATGTAAAACTGATACTTAGTGTTTATAAATTATAAATCAAAAGAATGTCAAGGCAAAAGCAAAGATCAAGTAGAAAAGAATATTTTCAAAATCATTAATCAAGGCCTTGTTCCCATTTTATAATTTTTATTTGTATCATTAAAACTTATAAGAAAATCACAATGAGCCCAGTCTTAATTTTTTTGTACATGTGAGGTTGATCTAAGTTCAATTAGTATTTTCAATTATGTGTAATTGAGAGAAATTATTTGGGGATTAGTGATTCTTTAAAAATAGAAATAGAATACTGATTCATAAAACTTTTTCTTTTACTACAGTTATCAGTTTTGTTTGATCTTAAATTACAAAATACAAGGGTACTTCAAGAAGTTAGTGGAAAAATACAACTAAAAGATAATATGAATCTTTCCATGAACTTTTTGAAATACCTTCATATATATGGATATGCCTGTACCTGTTTATGGGTAAATAATATCATCTTTCTTTTGTGTAATGCTTTTTTTTTTTTTTATAGTTTTTCAAACATTTTCAAAGCACTCACACTGTCTTCCACATATATTATCTCCTCTGATTTGGCCTTTGCATTTTACACAAGCAGGAAAGAAGGCTTAGAGATGTTTATGTAACTTGCTCAAGGTGAAACACTGAAAAAGATTTTGTGACTCTCATTTCAGTGATGTTTTTTGCATTGTATTATGCTACTTCTCACTATATTATGTTGATAGTTGAACTGTCACTAAAAAGCTTAATTCATATGATTGATTCTCTAGATGAGAACGGATGAACCGAATCCTCCATCAACTGACCAGTCTTCAGGGGCAAGCATTTTCCCACATTTCTCACATGATTTGATTATCTCTGTCCTAAGTGAATAACTTACTATCTCGGTATAAAAAACATGATTAGAAAACAACTAAGCCACTGTATTACTACAGCAAAGAGCCATCTTTCACACCTCTCTAAGTGAAAAGGAACTTCAAAAATGTCTCAATCAAAAAAACCCCTGATGATGCATATTCAAGTCAAAGTTGGATAGCTTCTGTTTCTTCACTGTGTTAAAGAATGATTCCTTCCGCTTAAAGACTTGATTATCAGATCTGTGGCAGAACTCTGGATCTGATTTTAGCTTTGGGAAAGCAAAGAGGACAAAATCAGAAGCTCAACTTTCTGGATGATGTGGATGATTCAGTGAGCTCTTTTCTGCTTCTGAGTCAGTTGGCCAAGAGACCTGGATATGATACGGCTTCAGTTCCTCAGGAGGGACAGAATCTGGGGCATTGCTCATGAGGTCATGTCCCCGGAAGGATTTGGGGAAGGCTATGACATCTCTGATGCTTGCAGCTCTAGTGACAAGGCACATCAGTCTGTCTAACCCTGTGAGTAAAATACAAAGTTAACAGATGAGAAATGTAATCTAACGTTGGAAAAGACTTAGTCTTTCTATCAAAAGTTGTAGAGAACTTTTACATAAGAATCTTTATAAGCTGTAGCCAACCACAGTTCCCTGCCTTTTTAGAGAATTTTTGTTTCTTGAGAGGTTCTTTTCTGCCTCATTCTGGAAAAGTGCTCAGGACTAATGTTCACATGCTACTGACGTTATCACAGTAAGGGCTTACTAAAGGCCCTAATACAGGTTGAATAATAAATATATTAGGTGCTCTGTAGGGAACTCCTACAAAAACAGAAAGAAGTCCCTTTTGTTGAGAGCCTACAATCTAGGTAAGCTTTCTAGAATTTCTCAGTATTCTTGCTTGACAAAACAAGCAAAGTGAGTAACCACGGTAATCAGGACACTGGCATATTCCTATTTTCATATGAGCTGAATGCTATGGAGCAGTGCTTTCCAGACCCCAAAGAATGTGTGTGTGTGAGGCCCCAGGATTTGAGCAATATTGACATTAAACTCTCCAGTTTTTAGTCTATTAAAAAATATTTCAAATGCAAATTATCACTTAAGTTTTATCTTTGTAACTGGTAAAATATATTTTAAAATACATTACTGAAATTAAAACAGATACTTAGATTCTCAGAGAACTCTTGGACTCATTCCACCCCCCACCCCCACTCCAGCACCACAAGTTGAGAGCCCAAATTTGAGACACTGTGCTATGGAATGGAATTTAGTTTGTAAAAGGACAAGTTGTTTACCTAAGGCAATTCCTCCATGAGGGGGCGCCCCATAATCTAAAGCCTGGAGCAGATGGGAGAGCAATTTCACATCTTCCTGAAATTCAAAAGATAATTTAGTTTAAATATATACTGAAGGTCCACTAAGTGCCACACACTAGGCTTAGGTGCTAAAGTGAAAATAAAGTGGAATTAAAAAAAAAAACCTTAATATATATGACTTAACTGATAATGAAAACTCACTGGGAAAAATGTAAAAAAAAACTCAAAACCCAAAATTTACGAGGTTTACATTTCAGCAAGGGAATAAGATAAGTCACAGATGAAACCTTAATATATATGACTTAACTGATAATGAAAACTCACTGGGAAAAATGTAAAAAAAACCTCAAAACCCAAAATTTACGAGGTTTACATTTCAGCAAGGGAATAAGATAAGTCACAGATGATTATGACATGTAGAAAAATGCCTGGTGCTCAGTAAATGCAGCCATTACTGTACTGATAATGCAGAGCTCAGAAAGGTAGGATGAAAACCAGGAAAACTGGCCTGTCCCAGGGACCAAGGGAAGAGAACATTAGTAAGAGGGCAACAGTGTCAAATGCTTCTGGGAGGTGGGAGAGTTGGAGGGTCAACAACAGGCCACTGGATTTGGTGACCATGCCAGTAACTTTTGTAGGACAGTGCGTGTAGAGATGTTGAAAATGTGTCTGGAAGTAGTTCTTTGACCAGGCTATAGATCAGAATCAGGTGGGAAGCTTCAAACAAACAGATGCCAAACCTCATACTTAGAGCTTTTTATTTAGTGGGTCTTGTGTAGGGCACAGGCATCAGTGTTTTTTGTTTTTCTAAAATGCTTTCCAGGTGATTCTTTTCTAATGTGCAGCAGGACAGAGAACCACTGGTGCGTAGGGAAGAAAGGGAAGCAATGTATTCTTACTGTTTTGAAAAGCTTGACAATGACAGGAATGAAAAAGATAGGCTGGAAACTGATGATTGGAGGCCTGACTTGGCAGGAGAAATGTTAACAGATTTCACAATGCCCTTAAAGCTAACGGGGGAGTCTGATATTTTGAGTTCTCCAATCCTAGTCTCACATATAAAATTCTTCCATCTTACCTAGCACCTGTTAGTTAATCCTAGAGAATGATCTTTTAGGACCAGACTCTCAGACCTTCTCTTTCCTGAAACCTGTTCTAGCTTTCTATAGAATCACCAACAAACTGCAAATTTTAGGTCCGCATCTGTAGAGACTCCCCTCTTTCTTTTTTTAAAATCCTGATTACCTCACTCTCTATTACTAAAATATAGCCCCATCTTAAATAGAGCTAAAGTAGTATTATTAAGTGATATAAAATCCTTTCAAACCTCTTTTTCTCTAACATTATCAACATTTTCAGTCACTTAAGACTGAATCTTTTTTTTTTTTTGTTTTTTTTTTTTAGTGGTTAGGTGCTTGGGCTCAAGAGCCACCCTGCCTGGATTCAAACCCTAGCTCTGCTTAGTTCTGTGCTGTGTGGCTTTGGTAAGTTAATTAATCTGCCTCAAATTATCTTTATTTATTTATTTATTTTAAAAGATGACCAGTAAGGGGATCTTAACCCTTGGCTTGGTGTTGTCAGCACCACGCTCAGCCAGTGAGTGAACCGGCCATCCCTTTATGGGATCTGAACCCGAGGCCTTGGTGTTATCAGCATAGCACTCTCCCGAGTGAGCCACGGGCCGGCCCTCAAATTATCTTTAAAATGGGCAGAATAAGAGGCCTTGGTGTTATCAGCACAGCACTCTCCCGAGTGAGCCACGGGCCGGCCCTCAAATTATCTTTAAAATGGGCAGAATAATAAGGTCTGAGATTCATTTTTTTTCATAATGACGAATGTTAGGGCATCTATCTCATAAAGCAATTGTGAAGATTAAATGCGTCAATGCATATAAAGTACTAAAATAGTGCCTGGCACATAGTAAGTACTAATAAACAGCTACTATTACCATTTATTTTTCCAAGTCCTACACTAAAGGTACAGAAACAAGCTGACACTATTTTATATCCAGCGAATCCTCCATTCATAACAAATGTTTAACAAAACTGACAAATACTGATTGAAAAATAAGGCCAGGTTAGAATATTTATTACCTTTAGTAATGTTGCCAGGATGTAACGCTGTAGCTCTGCATCATGGATTCGGATAGAACCACCTCCTATCTCACTGCCATTTAAAACCAAGTCATAGTGTTGGCTACGGACCTACAAGATTTACAGAACCTTTATGTTAGAGAAAATTTCTGATTTTCTGTTCTGTAGATTGAAGATACTGTAGTTACTTAGAGACAATGTATTAACTACTGGCTCAAATCTCAGTTTCTTCTGGGGCTTCCAGAACTGGGTCCTATCTGTCTTCAGACTGTGAAATCTGAAGTTCTTTGCCTTTATTTACACATTTCCTTTTTATTTGGAAGTACATCAGATATGGTACCTTTTCAGGTTCAGTGTACAGGAGGTGAATATCGCTGGGGTGGGGAGCAGTAAATGGGTGGTGGGCTGACTCCAGCTCTGCAGGATTTTCCTCCTTTGGAAAGAAGAGTGGGAAATCTACCACCCAGAGGAAAGAGAACAAAGCTGGGTCTCGGAGCACCACTCCTCTTATTTCTAGAAGGTCAGCACATTCTAGTCGTAATTTTCCCAATGAAGAGCACTGTAAACACAAGACTGGGTGAGTACCTAATAACACAGTGATTAAGAACACAGGTATCAGAGCTTCATAGTCCTGAATCTGAATCTCAGTTTGGCTACTTACTAACTTCTCTGTACCCCTTTTCATAGTAAAATGGGGATAAAAACATCTACAAAAGACTGTATGAAGCTTAGGTCAGATAAGGTACATAAGATGCAGAACCTGAAAAGTATGCAAATGGCAGTTATTCTGGTTATTTCCTCACTGCTCCTGAAGGATTGTGGTGAAGATTTGATGAGTGCCTGGCACATAATTAATGTTCAACAAATTCTGGCTCTTATTAGAGGTGATATGGAATATGTGTGAATTTTGGAATCAGACTTCATGGGTTAGAATTCTGGCTCCTCCACTTCCTAGGCATGTGACTGCGTGAATTTTAAACCTCTATGCCTCAGTTTTTTTATTATTTTAAAAACAGCAACAGTACTTCTCTCAAAGGGTTGGCGTGAGGATTAAATGAGTTAACATATACAAGGTGCTTACTTGGCAATTAGGAAGTGCTTAATAAGTGCTAACTGTGGTTTGCAGGGCTTTTTTGAGAAAGGACAGTCAGAACAATGACACATGCCTGCAGACATGCATAGACTTTGTGGCCCATTCTATCTTACATTTAAATATCTGCAGAGGGCACCTTCATTTTCAGAATGTTAATGTTACTCCTTGTAAGTCTGGTTTCTAGCTTTCTTTCAAGGAAGGTCTAGCAGGAATTAGAACCATACCTTCCTGAGAAAGGAACACCAGTATGTTTGGTTCATAGCAAAAGAATGTTTCATAGCCAAATTAATTTGCAGCAGGATATTATATAATACAAAATTCCAAGTTCTTTTTTAAAAAGTGCACTGAGAATGAAATTTGTAATTAAATAACTTTCTTTACTATTGCAGGGAAAGGAAAAAACAGTGTATTATATTAATTGTTGAAGCTGAGCTCTGAAACATTTTCTTTGGAAGAGATAATGATAAATAAGTGCAAATATAAATTTGAAGAATAAACTTGATAAAGTACTAATTAAACACTTATTTTAAAGAAACCATATTTTAGTGAAAGAATGAATTTATAACATGCCTGACCTTTATTTATAGTATGTTTTCAATATTCATGTTTGACTTTTATGCTATACTTTTGTATATTTTACAAAGATCCCTAAAGCCAAATTCAGTCTTCCATATATGTTCCTTGAGGAATGGTGATTTAGCCAGTGCATGGCAGCAATCACCACCTACAGCTGCTACTCTTGAGGAAAAAGGGCCCCACCTTGACCAAGTTGTTCCAGGGGTGTCTGCAAGCCCAGCAGCCCTCCAGTGGTCTGATCTGTCTCTCCATATTTTTAGGGATGCATTATACACAAAAGTTTAAGACTACCAAATTTTTTTCATCTGCAAAATTTTGAAAATGAAAATATTTTTCCATGGTTGTACAACTAATACCAATATCCCATTAACTAAGTGGCTTTTCTTTTTTTTTTTTTTAAAAAAGATGACCGGTAAGGGGATCTTAACCCTTGACTTGGTGTTGTCAGCACCACGCTCAGCCAGTGAGCAAACCGGCCATCCCTATATGGGATCTGAACCCGTGGCCTTGGTGTTATCAGCACCACACTCTCCCGAGTGATCCACGGGCCGGCCCCAACCCAAGAGTTTTTTTTTTTTTTTTTTTTTTCCTTTTTTTATCTTACATCAACCCATCCAGCTAGAGAGGTGCAAGTAATGACTGCTGCAGTTACTGCTGCGGGAAAACAGAAAGAAAATCTGCAGTAACAAAGACAGGGTTTAAATTCCAACTCAGCACTCATAAGCTCTGTTTTCCATTATCCGTAAAGGGGACAGTATATACTTTCTATCAGGGTTGGGTTTTTTTGTCCTTTTGGAGACCGGCTGCACCGCGCTCAGCCAGTGAGTGCTGTGAGTGCACCGGTCATCCCTATATAGGATCCGAACCCGCGGCGGGAGGGCAGCCGCGCTCCCAGCGCCGCACCCTCCCAAGTGCGCCACAGGCTCGACCCCTAAGTGGCTTTTCTAAACAGTCAGATCTATTCTGTGATGGTAATGCCAATAGAGGCCAGTAGCTGATGAAAAAAAAACCTGGTTTTATATACTACATTATAAAGTATTGAAAGATATTTATTTATGTAACTATTTATGCAGAACAGTTCCATTTTATGAAATTAAAGGTCAATTTTATTTTATTTTTTTTAAAAAGATGACCGGTAAGGGGATATTAACACTTGACTTGGTGTTGTCAGCACCACGCTCACCCAGTGAGCAAACCGGCCATCCCTATATGGGATCCGAACCCGTGGCCTTGGCGTTATCAGCACCGCACTCTCCCAAGTGAGCCACAGGCCAGCCCTTAACAGTCAATTTTAAATATGTACTATATACATAGGACACGAGAGGCATCATACAGTATTAACAGCACTTAGACTTGGAGGGAATTTTTCTTACTGCTTTCTTGTGCTCTCCAGCAGTTAGCAGGACCACATCTTCCTCTTGGATCTCCATCAATCTGATTAATTCCAATCTTTGCTCCTCCATTATAAATTTAGCAACTGAAGAATTCCAGTTTCTATTGGCTTTCAGGAATATAGGTAAGACTTCCTGTGATAAAGAAAAAAAAAAGACTTATTCACTTTTTTTTTAAAAAGTGGGATTGATTTATTTTCTATAGTACAAATATTTGTTGTTCCCAGTAGAACTTACATGAGATTCTTGTTGCCTCCTTGAACTCCTTCAAAATGATACTAAAGAAATTTTAAAAAGTAATCTCACCACAACAACAACAAAAAAGGGAATGAAGGGTGGGGAGGAATATCAGTAGATAAGAGATCTCTACAAATTTTTGGCAGACTGCAAGTGAATGGAACAGGGATGATTAAAGAAGCAAGATGCAGAAAGCTCTGGTCTAGAGAACAATGGAGGCAGTCTCAGCACAAGAAGAAACTCAATCTGGAGAGGCTCAGGATACTTATACCTTGAGTGTCCAGGGTAAAAACCAGTGGCCTTGCTGCTTACCCTAAACTAAACCTAGCCATTTACAAAGCTCCAAGGAGCTGTGCTTCCAACCAGCTTTTAAGATGCCTCCTTCTTAAATACGTATAGATAGTCAACAATCACCATACATTGAATAAACTCTGCAGAATTAAAAAAAAAAAAAGACCAAGATAAACATAAAAAAATGATTTTAGAGACGAGATAATTTAGGGACCAAAAAGGACTTGAATCCTCAGAGGCACTCAAAAAGATATTTTATCGATAAAACCAGAATAAGATGCAATCGAAAGAGCTGAGAAATAATAATATGGCTGCTGAAAAAAAACTCAACAGGAGAGGAAATTTCTTGGAAAATAGAATAAAAAAGATAAAATAATGGAAAGTGACATGGAAAAAAAGAGAGACATATAAGTTTTTTTTTTTTTTTTTTTTTTAAAGATAAGGGGCTCTTAACTTGGTGTTGTCAGCACCACACTCTCCCAAGTGAGCAACCGGCCGTCCCTATATAGGGATCTGAACCTGTGGCCTTGGTGTTATTAGCAGCACACTCTCCCAAGTGAGCCACGGGCTGGCCCTAGGGAGACATATCAGTTACATAAAGAGGTATTTCTAAAAAAAGATACTCTAGGCTGGGGTGGACTAGGGCAAATGATTATTATATTTCATTATTAATCCTTTATTATTTCTTTTTTAACCATGTGTATGCATCATGATGCTAAAAATTAATACGAATATTAAAAACAATTTGAAGCCAAATCAAATTAAAACATTACTAACTTTAAAAAGTAGCAGTAGTACCTATCTCTTGTATAAAAATTCAGTATATTAGAAAGGAAAAAAAGAAGAGAAGAAAAGAAGAAAATGTAGTAATAGTCCCATCAACTAAAGACTGCCAAAGTTAACCTTCGGGATTATTTCCTGGTCCTGTGGTTCTTAGATGAAGATTTCATATACTAGGAAAATGAAAAGAAACGAAATTGGGAAGCACAGGGTGCCGATTTTCAATTTTATAAAGGGAGGGCATAAAAAAAAACCCAACAAAATATCCTCTACTATTACCATCATTTCCTAAAAGAAAGAACATTTCTGCAGCAAGAGAGAAGGAGAGAGAAATGAAGGATAGTTCTTTAAATTAAGTTAATTTAACTTGATGAAAAGCTTTGTATATTGCCCTGACTTTTCTCATTTTTGCCTTGATCCATTTTGGAAACCACTATCCTAATCTTTCTTTCTTATTAAAAAATCCCTTTATGGTTTTTTGAGCTTGAGGTATGAGGTGGTTGTAGAGGTAGAGGTTGTATATTTTCAATAAACAAATATAGTGTTTTTACGTGGTTATAATTAGTGTATATATAATTCTATAAACTTTTTTTTTATAAATCATTACAACATGAGCATTTTTTTCTTAGGAAATAAAATCTTTGGAACAAAGAAATTCCTTTGATTATATCATAATGTATTTAATCGCTCCCTTATGGTTGCATTTTATTCCTGTTATAAATGATACTATAATGAATGTAAAGTCTCCCCATATCTAGGATCCTTTCTTTAAAGTATATCACAGACAGCTAAGCTGAGAAAATAAGTAAATAAATAAATAAATAGATGAATGAATGAATGAATGAATAAATAAATAAGACAGCTATGCTGAGAGGGAAAAAAAGTATATCACAGAAAATTACCGACTCAAAGAGCATGACTAAATAAAGTTACTGATTCTAAAATGGTTCAGGCAATTTATACTTCCAGTGACAATGTAAGAATAGCTGTTTCCCACTCCTGCTCCTCCCTATTTTAATTTTACTATCCACCAAGCCAAGATCATAAAATGTGCCTGTCAAAGGTATATTCAGAATTTTAAAAAAGGGTATAGGAAGAACAATACAGGGCTTCTTTCACACCTGCCATGCTTTTGTTTAGACCTTGGGCACATGGGGCTCTATTAATTTTCCTAACAGGATTAAAATACCTTTCTTCATTTAAACAGGCTACGGTTGAACTTTCACATTCTGATTAATGGTGAATTCAATTAATTTGAAGTCTTAGAGTTGTACCCAGGGGTAATATTAACTTTAAAAATAAATAGAAGAAAAGCAGAAGAATGATCTGAAATAATAAGACCTTTGAAACTAATGAGAGCTTAAGAGCTCAAACAATTATTAGTTAAAAATACTGAATCCCCATAAGGAAAAAACCTGCTCTAATTAACTCCTTACCTGATTAAAATGGTTAGCTGCAAAATTTTCAATGGACTCAATGTCTTTCCTTTTTAAGTACCTCTGATGAAAGAAAATCAAAGTAAACTCATCAGTATGACACCTAGCTAGCTTCATAAACAGTTTATGATATCAAATGGGACACAAGTATATTTTGTGTCTTTCCATCACAATAGTGAGATTTAGTAACAGTCTAATTTCTGCTGCCAAATGACAATTTTTTTTTTGGTGGCTGGCTAGTAAAGGGGATCTGAACCCTTGACCTTGGTGTTATCAATACTGTGCTCTAATCAGCTGAGCCAACCATTCAGACCTTTTCTTCCCCCAAATAACAAAATTTTAAAGCTTGTTACAGGGCTTATTTTTTTCCAGTTATGCAGGTCTCATTGGAAACAGCTGTATTCCACAGAAGACTCCCCCCGTCATATATGTAATATGCAGGATAAATGTTCAAAACGAATCTCTAAAACTGAAGTATGAAAGAAAAAACTTCCAGATCAATAAGAGGATTAGAAATTTGATTATTTCAGGTTTCTCAGAATTCTTTGTATCTTAATTTTTCTAAATTAGATTACTTCAGGTTTCTTAAAATTCTTTGTATCTTCTAAATCATCTCAATGTCTTTCTAAGTGACACTATGCTTATCATCAACTCTATTCATGACACATTTAACTAGGTATGGGAGGTACAAAAAGATGAAAACATGATGCATACCTCTGCAGTTCTTATATCTACTTCGGGAAGAATACACACACTCAAAATGTGCTAAATAACAATAGGCAATATGTTATACTGAGCTTACCTGAACACATTCGTTATGTCTGGACTAGAGTATGGATACCAAGTTACTTTCCACTGAACATATAAAGTAAATAAAAAGTAATGAGACTGAGTTCTTGCACCCATTCTGAATATACTTATATGCTTATGTATCCAAATAAATATAGTCTTTCGAAACAGTAATCTTATTCAAAATATTTCTGGAATGCCTCTTATTAAATTACTTTCAAAGAAGGTGCACTAACTACAGAAAATACATGTGTCCCATTGACTTTAGAGTCAATGCTTGCTCAGTCCAACCATTCTCTTTCTTCTACCCTCACCACTTCACTTCCTTTTTGCTTTTTTAGCTTCACCTCCTTTTCTCCCCATTATTAATGTAACTGAGGCCAGAATCATCAGAAGACTAAGAATTGACATGCAAAGGCTTTGCTGCAGCTGATGTGGGGCTCACAGCTTTTGGACAAACAGGCTGGAGACAGAATACTGAGTACTATTTTTTTTAATTTAATTTAATTTTATTATTTTTAAAAAATCAGGATAACTTCTATATTTATCATTACACAATGTAATCATTTTCTGTGGCCCTTTATCAATTTCTCGCTATCCCCCTTCCCCTGCTAAATACTATTTTATGCTCATAATATCCCCAATGAAATCAGCCCAAATGAAGTATCAGAGTACTTTATAGCATTGTTTAAAAGGGGGGGAAAAAAGCCCCAGATTGTGAATGTAAAGTCATATTCATAAAGTTTTATTGTTCTTATAGTTTTAGGGACACTGTTAGACTTTATATAAAAACACATATTTTTGTTTAAAGAGAATTGTTCTTTCTTTCTTTTTTTTTTTTAAAGATGACCAGTAAGGGGATCTTAACCCTTGACTTGGTGTTGTCAGCACCACGCTCAGCCAGTGAGCAAACCGGTCATCCCTATGTGGGATCCGAACCCAGGGCCTTGGTGTTATCAGCACCGCACTCTCCCGAGTGAGCCACGGGCCAGCCCGAGAATTGTTCTTTCTGAAGTTTAAATGTGCCAGTGTTGAACATATTTATTTCCAAACACAATCTATAGAAAACCCAGAACTGTGCTTCACTTACTGCTCCTTCAGGGATACGTATGGCTTTGACGGTTCCTTGGGGCTCACTAAGTGCATCCCGAAGAAATCCAATCTCTGTGTTTCTGAACACGTCACTGATATCTATAATCTAGAAAATGGGTAACAAAAAGGGGCAGGTAAACATGGAATAATTTTTACCTCAAAACATTTTACAAACAATATTTTAAAGAAGAGAATAACCTTGATACGTTAACATTTATAAAGCGTTTTCATAGTGTTTACAATGGATTGAGCACTATGACAAGTGTTTTATGTATATTCATCCATTTCATCTGCACAACAAGAATATGAGACTGGTGCTCTTATTATTCCCATTTATGGATGAGGAAACCAAGGCACAAATAAGTAATTTGCCTGAGATGACACAGATCATAAATGGCAGAGCCAGAATTTAACCCAAGCAGTCTGACTTAAGAACCACTATTCCATATCACAAATGAAGAAACAAGGAGTAGTTAAGTTGGCAGCTGTTAAGTAGGTAGCTATAACTTTTTGTACATTTTTTTCATTCTAAGAATTGAACATTGACTATTCATACACCAGGCGGAATTCAATTTCTAAGGGATCTGAACTAGAACTAAGATATAGAAATGTCACCAGCACTATAGAAATCAAGGAATATTGCTCTCCAAGAGTAAATAAGGAGAGGCCCGGTAATGAAACTACTC